GGGGGGGGGGGCTGAGGCGTGAGGCGACGCAGAGCTCGGATGCTTGCACAGCGCCTACAGCGCTGCAGACGGCGTGCAGAGGAACTGGAGGGATCGCGGTCCTCTGTCTACCCCGCTCCGCGGCTTGCGCCGAGGGAGGGAGAGAGGGAGCCATCTCCCTCCTTGGTCCAAACCTTTACGGTTGCTAGGCGGTCCAGCCAGGGCCATTCCCCGAGCCTTTCGCCGCGTCGCCAACGGCCGATGGAGGCCACGATCACGATGTAGCGAGTCTGTACAACTGGACTCGTATCGTGGCCACGTTGTCGCCGGTGCCACAAAAGTGGCTGTTGTTGCGATTGTCTTACAGTGTGGCTACCTTTGGACCGTCGCGGGGGCTGCCTACGTGGCGTGGTCACGCGGTCGTCGTTTTGTATGGGCGTTTGTCGGGAAAGAAAGGAAAATAATCATTTCCAAAGCACGGACGAGCATTATTTATTCAACATTTTTTTTAGTAAAGGAAGGTTTTGAAAAATCAAACCAGGCACCCTGTATGCACCAAAAAATAAGTATTTTGACACCCTAGTAGATGGCATTTGGTAGAAATAAAACACAAAAGGAGCGCTAATGCAGGACAAAGCACGAGTTGGTGAAACGTACAGAACATAAGACGGCATTCCTTTCATACTTCCACACAATAACATCTGAAATCTAAGTGTGACAATGTCACACCTTTGAAAGCAAAAATACATTCTACGCACAATCGTCGCGGCGTGTTGAGGAACGGCCCAAAGTTGTAGCATAAATGTATTACACATGGATCCACGTGCACTCGAGGGAACCTTCCCTGTTCCACTCGTTGTCATTGTGAGACTGACCAGTGTGTACGTCCGGTGAGGGACACTCGTCGTGGTCATGCGCGAAAAGGCCTATCTTCCGAAACCCTCCCCCCTCACGCCAATTGACTTCTTGGTGACAGACCGCTAGGCATGCCCCGCAGTTTTGGAGCACGCACTTGGGATAGTACCCGAGCAGAATGTGGAGCGAGGTGTTCGCGGCGAGGGTCGCCTTGACCTCGGTCTTGTGTATCCAGGGGTGGGGGCACCGCGTCCAGCTCTTAAACTCCAGCCTCCTCAAGGCCGGCGCCGTGGCGGGGGTGATGCTCAGGAGCAGCTTGTCGGCGTCGGGCGTAACTTCAGACAAGTCCAGGTGGCGTAGGGCGGGCAGCGATGGCAGCGCGCGGACCAGCGGGTCCATGTCCCCGAGCCAACCTAAAGATAGTCGCTCGAGCTGGGATTGGCCGGACGAAGCCAAGGCGTCGACCAGCGCCGCGATCTCATCGGCCTCACCGAATGGCAAAAAGACGCGCCGAAGCTGGTTGGCTCGGCGAAAGAACTCCGCGACCGCCTCGAGTTCGACGTTCATCTCCCCCAGGGAAATGCAGACGTCTCTGAGCGTCCTGCACGCCGCCACGGCTTCGAGGCCTCCAATCGAGTCGTTGCACCGCAGTCTTTGCAGTCTCGGCAAGGCGGCCAACAGGGCCGCCGTCGCCGTCTCCTTGATGTAGAAACCAGAGGCGAAGTCGACCTTCTCCAGCGTAGCCGCGTGCGCAATCAGAATGGCGTGCGCAAAGCATACCGAGTACTTGTCCACCGCGCACCGGAAGTTCTTGAGCGACGGCCTGGGCGGCCCTAGTAGAACGGGGTGTGAGGTTTTTGGCAGCTGGCCAAAGACTTCGAGCGACTCCAGGTCGGAACACGACACAACCGTCCTCAGCAGCTCGGCGTTTGTCGTCTTCGACCCGACCTTCGAACAATGAAGCTCAAGCCTCCTGAGGCGGCCGTATGACTCCTGGTTGCGCACGGCCGTGGCGTACTGCGCAGCGTTAAAGACCTCCTTCTTGTCGGCCCGAAGGATCAAACCTGCTGCGGCGCACCTGGTCGCGGACGCCGCCAGGGTCGGAACTTGGCCCGACACGGTCAGCGTGTCGAGACACGGGGCCAGGCGCAGCACCGCGCCCGCGCGGGGGTGGTCGTCGCGGAGGGACCGGTGGCGCCAGACGTCCCGATGCAGGGCTAGGCCGCAGAGCCTCTTGCACACGAGGCGGCAGGCAAGGACATCCTCCACGGACACGTACTGCAGCACCATCACGAGCACGTCGTCCGGGAGCTGCTCCAGGGTCAGCACAGACGTCTCCACGGGATCCATGATAGCAGAACGTAAACTGCGGCCTAGAAACACGGAGGGACCTTACGTTAAACTTTACCACACGAAACACTACTGCTCCTCTGTGTACGGTATGCTAGGCCTACCTTGGCGGTTAAGTAATCTGGGTGGATG